TCCGAAGCGTTGCTTCAGAGATTTCCATTTTATCTTATAATTAAATAATATGAACTCTACTGGGGGAAGAAAAGCAGCCCATCACACTGGTATTAAGCCTTAATATCATTTTTGCCATCTTGACTCCTATCGCTATAAAAAGTCATTTTCTGTTCCCCTCACAAAACCACCCAAGGAATATTGCTTCAGACACCAAAGGTGCCCATGTGGGGCTCAAGCCTGGTGTCCAATAAATATGTGTGTCATTGACCTAATGCATGTCCAGTCAATTGAAACCTCACACTTCTGACTTCGGTTTTGAGGTTGTAATCTTGAAGTCTTAACAGTTTATACACATTGACCTGAGGATATTGGAAACTTTTGATTAGAGAGGGTTGAATTCCTCTAAAGGACTTCATGAATGAAGAAGACAGCTAGAACCCCTGGTTTCCTGCTCCTCAGTGGAGATTCCAGCGGAGGCCAGAGGGCAGGCAGGCCAAACCACTTGTGGTTCTGTCAAATGCCAAGGCTGTTTGTGTTTGTTTGTTGCTTGTTTTCCCTCTGGGATTTATTGTTCATGGTATTATTGTATATTCTTTTTAGTTTTACACTCAGCACTGAACATCCTAGTTGCAGCCACTCTATTATGTTGTTTGGTTCCACACTTCCATATTTTCCCTTGGTGTGTGTATAATTTTAGTATTGCGTGTATATACCTCCTTTTTGTTGGCTTTCTCTTGTTGTGTTATATATATATATGCGGTGTGTATATGTCTCTCCTCTCGCCTCCGTGTCGTCTTGCATCTTCTTCGATATATAGGTGTTAATATAATATATTATACTATGATGTATGTCCTTGACTAAAACGCTAGTATTGCTCACTAGGATGTGAAAGGTTGTGATACTCAATTAGATATGAACTGTGTCCTGCTAAATACGTGTATTGTGCATGTTCCCTGTCACACCAGGCAAAAAGGTACGCCTTTCCGCACTCCGCCACCCTAAGAGAAGTGCCCTGGCTTCCCCCACGTGACACTCAAGCGTCACCGAGCAGCAGCCCCGCAGAAGCCACAACCTGTGACGTAACAAGTGAGCCACTTCTGTTGTTGTGGCCACAAGCGTGACGTGGGGTGGCAACTTAGTCATGATCGCTTGCACGTGCCACGGCATAAGACTGCGGGAGCTTATTGTTAGGTGTTGTGTAGTGAAAATTTCAATGTTTGGTTCGCGCAGACATGTCTGTTGGACAACACGAAGATACCCAAAGAAGCAGGGGAAACAAAAAGCAAAAAATCCACCACCTGACAGAAGAGTACCCAGAAAGAAGTAGGGAAAAAAAAAAAAAAAAAACCTAAGCCTGTGAGAAATGCTTTCTTCATTCAATGCCTGGGGAGTCCGGAATACAGGAAAGAGATTTTCAATTTTATCTCTTATAATTAAATAATATGAACTTCTGCTGGGGGAAGAAAAGCAGCCCATCGCGTTGGTATTAAGCCTTAATATCATTTTTGCCACCTTGACTCCTATCGCTATAAAAAGTTATTTTCCGTTCCCCTCACAAAACCACCCAAAGAATATCTGTGTAATTTTGAGCAAGTTGGGTTTTGCTCACTTTTGAGCATTAACTAGAATAAGGAGCTTCACCAAGAAAGGCCCCTGAAAAGCATGGTGGAGGCCTGACATGATGGCTCATGTCTGTAATCCCAGCTCTTTGGGAGGCCAAGGCAGGAGGCTCACTAGAGGAGGCCAGGAGTTCAAGACCAGTCTCAGCAGCATAGTGAGATCCTGTCTCTACAAATAATAATAACAATAATAATAATAATAATAACAATTAGCTGGTCATGATGCTGCATTCCTGTCTTCCCTGCTACTCAGAAGGCTGAGGCAGGAGGATCACTTGAGCCCAGGAGTTTGAGGCTGCAGTGAGCTATGACGGCACCACTACACTCCAGCCTGGGTGACAGAGCCAGACATAAGTACTCTTCGTGGTCTAAGGGAGAGTACAATATTTGGAATTAGGATCTGTTTTGCTCCTACCAGAATCGCGTATGCACCTCACTCCCTTACCTAAGTTATTTTTCTTTGTGAGTCTTTCTCCCCACTTCCAAAATGAGGGCATGCCTCTCTTGGGACCATCTATCTAGGCTTGGAGATAAGAATTGTAAAGCTCCTAGTATACAAAATATTTTCAACAAATGGTAGGTATGGTCATTTTAATATATTGAATTGTACCATAATTTCACATCTGACAGATAATTCCCCTGAAATTGATACTTGAATGTGAATGTGTTCTCTCATCTCCAGCTACAGGCAATAGTCTTCTATGTCGGGGAAAATCAAGTACTAATATAGAATCAGAATAAAATGGCAAAAAGAATGGGGGCACAACAGATAAATTCTCCAGGAATAACCTACTTTAAGGATTTGTAAATCTGTGGCAGCTAAGACCAGGCCCTCTAAGCACATCTGGAGGCGAACTTCCTTAAAAGAAATGCGTCCAAATGCTCCAACAGCTTCAAGATCATACCTCGGAAGGGTGAAGCTCTTTACAGAGTCTACAAAAAAATTGAGACTTCGGCTCTGCCAGGGAAAGAATGCCCAGGCGACCCGCCGTGGCGGGCTTCCCCAGGGACAGCCCAGGTGTGACCCATGTGGGCTCGAGGCCACCGTATTTGATGCCATCTGCAGAGCTGAGAGCAGCTGTCTCCCATTAACCCGAGGCTGTACCAACCAAGCCGCGTTCCCACATAATACTGGTTTCCAAAGCACCTTTTTCCCCAGAAGAGGCGTGGACTTACTAACCTTCAATACGTGTAACTCCTCCCAGGTGGCAAAACCAGGGCAACAGAGAACACGGCGATTCTGCCAATGTATCCTAATCTCACATGCCTGTACACACACTCCCAAGCATTTTAGCAAGCTTTTGGACATGGAGCTCAAAAGAATGACCCATAAATATTTTCCAATACATACAGCATCTTAATGTCTTTTTCTTTCTTTTTTATTTTTTTGTAGACACTGAGTCTCACTATGTTGTCCAGGCTGCTCTGGAACTCCTGGGCTCAAGCGATCCTCCTGCCTCGGCCTCCCAATGCACTGTGATGACAAGCATGAGCCACTGTGCAGGACCCACAGCACTTAAATTCCAAAATCACCTTGAAACCCTGACCTTCCACCCGCCCTGGTGGCTTCCAGAGGTCAGTTCCTCTTCCTGTGCCAAAGGTTTCTTGTCTTTCGCGGCCCGGGTAAAGTCACTCAAGATGCTCCCTCTGCTTCTGAAGGCCTTTGACTGAGAAGCCACTCTGGGTCCTGTCCCGACCCCAAGGCGGCTCCATTCGTACTTGCACATCTCCCGGCCGGTTTAAGTCACGCTGGCCAGGCTATTTCCACTTCACTCGCCTAATTTCTCCAATCCCAGCCTCTGCTGCATCACCTTTTCTTTCTCTGAGAACCCAACCCTGCAGGAGGAACGCTGATGCTGGGGTCCTTTAACTAGAACGCTAACGCCAGAGCACTTCCCAGGGGCGCTGGGGGGCGGGCTGCGGGGCGGGGCCTGGCGCTGCCACCAGGGTCTCCCGCCGAGGGCGCTGGGCCTGGGGAGGCTGCGCTGCTGGCTCGGGGAGTGCGCGGCAGTACGGATGTCGGTGCCTGGGCGCACGGAGACGACGGGCCGGGCATCACGTAGGCGCTCGCGGCGGGCGGGGCGGCGCCCACAGCGCCCCAACCTGCAGCGCCCGCGCCCGCCCCGCGCGCTCAAGGGCGAAGGGAAGGTCACCGGGGCAGTGGGCTATGGGCCCATCCCCGCTCCATCCTTGTGCAGTGCGCGGTCCCGAAACGGGAAGAAATCCGCCATCCGGGTCTTTCCACGCATCTGCGGCAGGAGGAACCGGGAAAATAAAAATCAAAACCCAGCTCGGGGCGCGTCGCGTCTCCAGCCCGCGCTATCGCGAAGGCTCGCAGGTAGCGTTGGCCTGGGAAGCGCCGATCTACCCGCCAGGGGCTGCGCGGCCTGGGGCGCTCCACCTTCCGGGCACCGGCGCCCTCACGTGCACCCGGGGCTTGGGGCGCGCAGTCTCCACCACCTCCCGCTCTTCAGTGTTAAATGTCCTCCCGGCGCGCCCGCGTCGTGGACCCAGACTCGGGCCCCTCCTGGAGAGCCGCTTCCACATTGCAGGGCAAGGGAAGCCCAGAGCCCGCGCCGCGGCGCCGCTGACGTTCCGGAGTCCTCGCTTCCTGGTCCTTCCCGTCCGCGGAGGCTGGCGGGGAGGGCCTGGGACCCATTTTAGTTTTCGGTTTTGTCACGAGCCGGAAGGCGACAGCACATGCGAGCGCAGGAAACCCGTTTTTAAAATCTCCCAGCGGAAACGCGAGGGGCTGCCGGACCGCCTCGGAGACGCCAGGCGGGAACCCAGAGCAACCCCGCCGCGTCCCGCATTGCAGCAGCCGGGACCCCGCCCACGCCGCGTGGGGCACGAGGCGACAGGAGGCGCGCGGGGACCCGACCGTTTCTTCCTCGACATGTTAGGGGGTGGCGTGGGGCGGAGTTGGGGGGCGGGGGGCCACTTAGGAAGTGATCGCGCTGTACCCACGCTTAGAAGGGGAAGCCCGGCCGGGTCCTACAGCTCAGAGGCAGAACGACTCCCGAGGGTCCTCCAGGCGACCCCCTCTGCCAGGCTCAATTTAAAACATAAACCGGAGGTGGTGGAAAGCTCACTATCTTCCGGATGGAGGTTCCTACCGCCATGTCCCTTCCTCCTCCACCCCGCCCGGCAAGGACCCCGGGGCTGCCCTGCTGGCTCATGCCGCCCCGCAGGTACCCCTGCCGCTCCCGGGCACGGGCTTCTCCCCAGTTCTTCCCATCGCTTCCCCGCTCTTCTCCCCGGTTCTTCCCATCGCTTCCCCACCTTTCCCCGCGTCCTCCCATCGCTTCCCCCCTCTTCTGCCCCGTCCCCCCATCCCCTTCGCCCTGTTCTCCCCTTCTCCGTCCGTCCCTCCCTCGCCGCTGGGAGGGGGGCGCGCACCTTGAGCATCCCCGCCGCTGGTCAGCACGCCGATGGCCTTGCCGGCCCCGGAGAGGTGCTCCAGGAACTTCCGCAAGGAGCCCTTGGGGGCCCGGGAATCGTCCGCGTCCATGGCGAGGAGGCCGAGGGCAGCCGCTAGTCCGGGTGCGCAGCAGGCAATGGGGACCCTGCCCGCGCGCGCCCGACTCGGAACCGCCGCCCCGCCCGCGCCCCCGCCCGGCCCCAGCGCCAATGGGCGGTGACGGGCGGGGCCCGAGCGCACGGGAGGGGCTGCGGGAGCGGGGGCGCGGCTCGGGGCAGGGGCAGGGAAAGGGGCAGGGGCTGGCGGGGGGATGGGTGTGGGCAGGAGCACCTACGCCGGGGTCGTCGTAGGTGGGGACCGCGCTAGCGGTGTGGGAGGCCGCAGAGGCGGGGGTAGCGCCACAGGTGGGCGGGGTCCCTGCGGGTGGGGCCGCGTTGCTGGTGCGTTAGCCTTGCGGGTGGGTTGGAGGACTCTGGTTGGGGGCTTTAGAGATGCCCGGAGCTCCCCAAGTGGGGGCAGGGGCAGCGTCTGGGGGAGCGGAGACCGCAGGGGGGCGGGGTCACATCTTTTGCGGGGCGCGCCAGGGCGGGGCGGGATAGAACGCGGGGAGCGTCTCCCGAGGGGGCGAGGGAGACAGTGAGTGGGCGCGAACGCCGGGGCGGGTGGAAACCCCGCGCTTGCGGGGAGCGCCGATGGCGGGGCGGGGTGGAATTGGGGCGCGGAGACCCCACCTGGATGCGGAGGTTCGCTGCAGGCCCGGCAGCTCCGGCTGTTGTCGGCGCCGAGCCCGGCCGTGCGCACAGCTTCTAGTTGCCGGCAGGATTCCTCCTGGGGCTGCGCTGGGAGCCTCGGGGGGCGGCTTCCTCGACCCCCGCCCCCAAGTTTTCTCTGCAGCCTGAGGTCGGGAAGGACGGATGGAGAGTGGATCCTTCAGGTGGTGGGAAAAGCTGAGCGCGGCGGGCTTAGCTATGACGAAGCTGCGATTTCCTGGGCCCATGGGGGCTGTGGCGCTCCTGGGCTCCCAGCCCGGCCCTTGGGGAGAAGAAGCCTTGGGGTGGAGGAGGGTATCGGGGCGCGACCCACAGAGACACCTGGGCGCGCGAAAGTCAGAGTGGGGCAGGAGGAGGCGCAACAGGACTGGCCTGGGAGGGAGGCGGGACGACCCTTCCTCCCCACGTACACGCGCGCTGCGGTACGCTGCGTGGACCTCGGCCGGCTCCACGGGCCAACTCCACGTGCTGAAATACGCGCATCCAAAGCGCTGTGCCAGTTGCCCATCCACAGCTTAACAGCCTGGTGCCAGTTACCTGCCATGGGAGAGGGAGCAGCCCCCACAAAAGCACGGGCTTATGGGGCCCCGGTTCCTTCAGTGCCCACCCCACGAAGAAGGGCTCCCAAACGGCCCCACTCGAGGGCTTTCCGGAGGATGGTCATGCGCAGTGGGTGTTTGTTGAACAGACAAGAGACGCCAAAAGAGACTAAGAAGAGTTTTGTTCTATGAACCGGGGAAACTGAAGTAATCGCAAAGGAGAGTCTCGCCAAAGGGCAATCCTGGGGAAAAGATGGAGAGGCATGGATTTTTCTTGGATGTGTGCCTCATCCTGGGGCTGATCCCGCTGAGCATCAAATATTCATTGCAAAAGAGGGAAAAAAAATATGCTGCGGACAATGCTGGATGGTCTGCTGTCTCCCTTGGCCAGAATTAACGGCGAAATTCCTAACCCCTCGTGGTCCTCAGAATCACCTGTCCTATGCACACCGCAACTAAACCACTGAAGTCCAGTTTCTGGGAGCGCAGCCAGGGAATGTGTATTTTTAAACAAGCCACCTAGGTTACTCTGATGAATGCAAAGTCGGAGAGCGCTGCTCTCATGCACTGAGCCTGAGCATTATTCTATTAATAAAAAAGGAGAGGAGGATCCTGGGTGTCTTAAGGTGGCAGTTGAGTGGCCTTTGCCTTCTGGTGGGCAGAAGAGCAGACCGAGGCTCTAAGCACCTGCACCCTCCGCTGGGCTCAGGATCTGTGCTGGAGAATAGAAGGGCTAATTTAATTATTCATGCCTTTTTAGAGCATATTACGTGTGGAGAAGGTGGAGCACACTGAATTTTATTTTAGCCAAATACCCCTTATCTCCTTATACAATTGATATTTTTATATTGAACATTAGGCGATTGGTCATTTGTCATCAAATTGTCTGTAATACAGAAAACGATAGATACAACCTAACAGTTCAAACATGAGCTAAATAAATGATGGTAAAAATATACGCTGCAGTAATATTTAATTGCTGTTATCGCTACGAAGATAAGTGTCTACTGACATGGAAATATGTTCAGGACATACAAATAAGTGAAAAGGCAGGCCTAGACGCAGTGTGAGCCTCTGTGTGTGTGTGTGTGTGTGTGTGTGTGTGTGAGTCTGCATACATATGTAAATGTTTCTGAGCATTTTATTTCCTTTCTTTTGCTTAGTACAGGTAATGCCATTTTTCTCTCTGATGAACAGGTATTGTTTAGGGAATAGAAATAGTTAATTAAAAACAATAAAATTTAGAGTGTCAAGACCCCCAAGGTTACGGATTATGTTCAAAAGTTTGTCTGTATGTAAGGGCTGGGGTCAGGGTGCTCACTGACCGTCCTCACACATCTGTTCTCATGAGTCTGGCCCATTGCTCAGTCAGTCAAGGAATTAACATATATTAATATATACCTGTAGCTAAGATGGAAAAGAATAGCTATGGCTCTTTTTTTTGTTTTGTTTTGTTTTTGTTTTTGTTTTTTGCAAGTCATGTATTTTAATGGTGCTACAACTAGAGTTTTTTTTTTTTTAAATCTTGGGTCTTAGCAATGAATCTTCTAATTCAAGAGGAAGATATTACATGCCGTGCTGACCGTACAGCTTCCGCCCAGTAGGACCTGAGGTGTGTGTTTGTTCTTTATTGTCCCTTGACAGATTACTCCAAAGTGTGGCCCACACCAGCACACACTTATACCCCAGGAATGATTACTCCTTGGGCCGGGAGTTCAGGCTTCACTGGGCCCTCTGCCCCAGGCGCTCTCCACGGCTGCAGCAGGTGTCTGCCCAGGGCTGCTGTGTCTTCTGAAGGCTCAGGCTCATCAGGGGAGGAGCTGCTTCCACGCTCGCTTCTGTGTTGCTGGCAGGATTCTGTTGCTTGCAGGCTGTTGGACTGAAGGCCCCAGACTCTCCGTGGCATCAGCTTCAGGTTGCCCTCTGCCCTGGGCAGGTGACTGGCTTTGCCAGAACTAGCGCCTATCAAGAGCCAGGGGGAGAGTTCCAGTGGACGGAACCTGCAGCCCCTCCCCCCCCCACCAATCCAATCTCAGGAGAGACCGCCATCTCTTTTGCCTGTTTCTATTCATCAGAAGTGAGCCACTGAGTCCAGCCCTCTTCAAGGGTCTGGCTGTGAACACTAGGGGCAGCGGCCAAGGGGAGCCACTTGGCAGGGGAGGTGCTGCCTGGGACCCGCCTAGGACAAGGTGAAGGAGAACATGCATAGGGACAGCTGCCCTTCCCACTTGCCCTCTGTGGTGAGCGCAGGAGTTGCCAATGTGCCCTAAAGTAGTTCTGGCATCCCATGAGGGAAGCAGCTCCCAGCCATGGGGGCACCATGACCCAGTGCCCCAGCATGTGGGGCTGCACATTCCAGGGCTACCTGAGCTTCAGCCCCTTCCCCTTCCCTGCTGTCTTGGCCTGTGCATGGAGTGGGCATCTCAAATCTGCAGGGGCCACACTGAGCTCAGGCCTCTGCACCCCCGCACAACCCCCCACCACTCAGTCTTCCTCACCTCAGCTCCTGGTGACTCCAGCCTCCCAGGGGCTCAGACTGAAGGCTTGCAGTATTCCTCCATCCCGGCATCTAAGTCCCTCAGGAAAGTCCCTCTTGGCTCTTCATTGCATCTGGAGCCACTGGGGCCAGGCCACCACCTTTGACCTGGACCAGAACAGGCTCCCTCCCCATCCCCTGCTCTGCCCCCACTTCCACCCCACCTCCATGCCTCGGGTGTCCTCAGCTTCAAAGTCAGGGTGCATCTATCAGGATGTAATTCAGGCATCTTCTCTGCTGACTCGGAGTCACAGGCCCCACACATGGCCCACTGGCCTGTCCTCTGGTCCCATCAGATTCTAGTACTGCCCAGAGGCCCATACGGGCACCCGACAACCTCAGGCCCAGCCTGCTCTTTCCTTAGCCCAGGCCCTCCTCTCCCTACCCACTCTGCCCACCTTCCTCAGGTCTGTCTTGCAAGGTATCCTGCATGGTGAGGCCTCCCCAGATCACCCTCTTAGAAATTTTGTGCTCCACGTACACTCCTGTTCCCTCCCTGCTTCTCTTAAAACATCCTCGTCAGTGTCACACATGGGGCATTTCACCTATCTGCTGGGCTTCTCAACAGGACCCCCGCTGAACTCTGAATGCCGTGGATTCAGAGATCTTTGAACTATTCCCTGCTGCAGGCCCAGGGCAAAGCAGAGCCCAGGACAGAGTGAACCTGTCATGGGTGCTGCTGAATGAATGAATGAAGGGGTGAGTGAGTGAAGGAGTAAATGAGTGAGTAAATGAGTGAATGGGTGAGTGAGTGAGTGAGTCAGTGAATGAGTGAGTGAGTGGATGAGTGAAGGAGCAAATGAGTGAGTGAGTGGGTAAATGAGTGAATGAGTGAATGTGAGTGAGTGAGTGAATTGCTGAGTGAGTGAATGAGTGAATGAGTGAGTGAATGGATGGGTGAGTGAATAAGTAGGTAAGTGAATGAATGAGCGATTTAGTGAATGAGTGAGTGAATAAGTGAGTAAGTGAATAAGTGAGTGAATGAGTGAGTGAGTGAATGAGTGAGTGACTGAGGGAATAAATGAGTGATGGGTGAGTGAGTGAATGAATGACTTAGTGAATGGGTGAGTGGGTGAATGAGTGAGTGAGCAAATGAGTGGATAAGTGAATGAATGGGTGAGGGAAAGAGTGAGTGAATGAGTCAGTGAGTGAACAAGTAAATGAGTGAGTGAAGAAGTGAGTGAGTGAATGAACCAATTAGTGAGTGAATGAGTCAATAAATGAGTGAATGTGTGAATAAAGCGTGAGTGAATGAGTGAGTGAGTGAATGAGTGAGTGAAGAGGTGAATGAGTGAGTGAATGAGTGAATGATTGAGTGAGTGAATGATTGAGTGAATGAATGAGGAAATGAGTGAGTGAGTGAATAAGTGAGTGAATGAGTGAATGGGAGAGTGAGTGAAAGAGTGAGCTAGTGAATGGCTGAGTGAGTGAATGAGGGAGTGAATGAGTGAGTGAATGGGTGAGTGAATGAGTGAATGAGTGAGTGACTGAGTGAGTGAATGGGTTAGTGAATGAGTGACTGAGAGAGTGAATGGGTTAGTGAATGAGTGAGTGAATGAGTAAATGAACGAGTGAGTGAGTAAAAGGGTGAGTGAATGAGTAAACGACTGAGTGAATGAGTGAGTGAGCAAGTGAAGGAGTGAATGAGTGAATGAGTGAGTGATTGAGTGAGTGAATGGGTTAGTGAATGAGTGAATGAGTAAGTGAATGGGTGAGTGAGTGAATGGGTGAGTGAGTGAATGGGTGAGTGAATGAGTGAGTGAGTGAATGGGTTAGTGAATGAGTGAATGAGCAAATGAGTGAGTGAGTAAAAGGGGTGAGTGAGTAAAAGGGGTGAGTGAGTAAAAGGGGTGAGTGAGTAAACGACTGAGTGAGTGAATGAGTGAGTGAGCGAGTGAAAGAGTGAATGAGTGAGTGAGTGAATGAGTTAGCGAGTGAATGAATGAGTGAGTGAACGAGTGAGTGGGTTGCTCAGGGGAGATGAGGACCGGAGCTGCCCTCTGGCTGCTGCAGTAGACAGGAGCTGAAGGAGTCTGAAGCGTGGGATGTGCCCACTCGGTACATACACCCTGCTCGACACATCCCCAAAGAAACCCAGCCTCACCAGAGTGGTCTCTTGAGAATTGTTAGTAACAACCTTTTTTCCCAATATTTCACATGTGCAGGATGATTTCTTACTTTCCTTTAAAATGCCAATCGTTTTTTGGACTTGGAATTCTCCACTGCTGGTCCACGCCACTGTATTCTCCCATAGGGGCATCCTCCGAGTTGGAGAAAGAGTCATTCCCAGGAATGGATAAAAGCCAGAAGGGCATCATCAGGTGGGGCACCTTCTCCTATCATCCTCCCCTTCCTGCCTGGGTTACCCTGAGGACTTGGTTTGGAGGTCTACAAAATGCGGACGCATCAAATTTGGATAAAAGCCTAAGCAGTTTAAGAGGTTGCAGTGCTAGCAGGAAGGTCTTTGGCTCCCAGCCCCCTCCTCCCCTCCAGTCTCTGCTGGACCCAGGACTCTGACTCCACCTTCGGCCTTGGGGGTTTCCTCCCTTCCTTCCCCGCCACTGAGCCGCCTTGGGCTGATCTCCAACCGCAGAGGCGCAGCCCTCCTCCTTTCCTCCTGCCTCTTCCTCCCTTCTCACTTTCCTTCTGCTTCTTTCAGGACTTTGGAAAGTCCAAGAATAAGCAAAACTGTAGACCAGAAAACGCTGCCTTCAGCCCATTCCCCTCCCAGCAGCTTCCCTTCAGACTCCTTGATCTTTCAAAATTATTTTGCTTTGTATCTAGATGCTAAACTTTATGTAGAAAACAGGTGGGGTTGGTTTCTTGACCGGGTACAGTGGCTCACACCTATAATCCCAGTGCTTTGGAGGCCAAGGCAGAAGGCTTGCTTGAGGTCACATGTTTGAGACTAGCCTGAGCAACACAGGGAGACCTTGTCTACCAAATTAAAAAAAGAAAAAAAATAACCTGGAGCGGTGGCACATCTGTAGTCCCAGCTACTTGGGAGGCTGAGGCAGGAGGATCACTTGAACTCAGGAGTTTGAGATTACAGTGAGATATGATTATATCACTGCACTCCAGCTTGAGCAAGAGAGTGAGACACTATCTCCTAAAAAAATAAAAATGAAAAGTGCTGGAGTCCATATCCAAGCCCACAGCCAATTGTGACATGTGGATCTTTTATTTTTACAATCCGCCTCTCTTGTCTAAGTGCCAAATGACACTCAGATTGTGTGTAACTACTTCCACCTTTGTCTGGCTTCCCTTTCCTTAAGTGTTAAGAATCAGGTTGCATAGAGTTCTGAGAAAATAAAATAATGAATCAGCTGTGTGTCGTGGCTCACGTCTATAATCTCAGTGCTTTAGGAGGCTGACACAAGGATTGCTTGAGACCAGGAGTTTGAGACAGGCTTTTGCCACATAACGAGATCCTGTCTCTACAAAAAATAAAAAAGTAAAATAAAACATTTGCAGGACCTGGTGACACACCTGTAGTCCCAGCTACTCAGGTGGTGGAGGCCTGAGGATTGGCTTGAGCCTGGGAGGTTG